GCAGTTTTCCTAGCTCTTTTTAAACTGGCATCAAAATAGTCAAGATTTTTAACTCCTAAGTTGTAAAACCTAAGAGGTAATTTTAAAAAACATGGATAAAAAATTTGAAATTCTGTTTACTTAACATACTTTGAGAGAGAGACTATCACTTATTGGAACTGAAAATTAATCCCTATGGAATTATCCCACTACTGTGTCCACTGGAAGAATCCCTGCATCACTAGGAAGTGTGTGAATCCAAAAGTACCTATCTGTGCATAAGCACATGTAGGGCTGTAGAAATAGCTATGTATTTATGGTTTGATTTGTGGCTACTTTTGGGGAAATTATCTTATTAATCTAATTAACATGTACTTTTAAAGGTACTTGCTAGTGCACTAGGCTATATCTCAGGTCACTAGTGACTGGCATTATGATCTCTAGACAGAGTACAACGTACGTGCTACCAAAACACTCTTGTGGTGTCAGGGTAAATGGTGCCATCATTAGCAGCTTTAGAAGAGAGCTCAAAAGGAAATACACAAAAATCCCCAAATTATTTTCATATACATACAACCTTTTCTTGACCTGTTCAGATTATGACCAAGTTCTGCTGTCTGCAGCCTGTGCATACACCGCTGTGTCACCATCTGCGTAAATGAAACTAACACAGTTCTTTGTTTTCAGGGTTTTCAATATGACATCTCTCATGTCTTAAAATCTAATTTAATCTTGAGAAGCACTGGAGGGGAAAAGAAAGAACATCTGCCCAATGGAAAATATGAAGTCAACAGGTTTTTGACTTTTGAAGTAAAAAAAACAATGGGGGAAGAAAGACTGAAAAATATAATACATGACAACATCACGTAAGACACATAACTTTCTAGAAACGATGTACATGTGTGTGCCGCTCTATAACAGTCATACTCTGCGCTCCCTTGTTCCAGCCTAGTAAGTGGGCTGTTTCTGGGTAAGTTTTGCAAGTGGCAGAAACTTCCTGTGTTTCTGTTCCAAATTTGGTGTGCGCAGTCTTTCTTATTTGAGAAAGCAGCATTATGCACTGTAGTTCTAAGTCTAGATCTAGCTTTTTCCAGCTATGTACCTCTTTTTCAATCAAACCCCCAAACTGGGGCAGTGGGGAGAGCATGTAATATGTCTGGAGTAGACAACACATTTGAAACTTTTTCTTTTCAAGGAAGAATCTTTATGGGCAGAATGTAAATGAGTTTAATTTATCAGTAGGGCTTAGTACTGCAGTCTGCTTGGATCTCAAGCTAATCAGCTTTCTCTTTTGCTCAGGGCCTCAAAGAAAAAGCCAGCCAGGGAGCCAGCTTGTAGGTGCCTATCTGGCTCATGGAATGGGACATCTGGTGAGATGGGGATGCTTTGATGCCACATAAATTTCTGACAACCTCAGCTGAAGGCTGTCTGTCATAACATCTGCTGTCTTACTGAGCTATGACCACATTTTTTTCTTCTGCACTGAGCATATCTGATATTACACCATGTAAATCCTGGGAATTAAGTTTTGACTGGCCTAAAAAGAAGTGGAAGAAAAGTGCCTTTTTTTGCCCTTAAGCTGCCCTCTCTGGCTCATCTTAGCAATAACACCCTTTCTATTCATTTGTTTGGTAACAGAATTACATCATCATCTAGTAATAACTGTGTGCTCAAGGCAAAACTGGCCAAAGACTCAAGAACATAACAGGAGTTTGCTTACTTTGTGACATTGCATATCTACAATGATCTAAGGAAATAAACGCAATGCCCTCTATTGTTAAACAAAATATCCAAACCCACTTCAATGGAAAAAGGCCACATATTTTGAGTAGGTCCACAAAGTTCATCTAACTCAGAACAGAAAAATAAGAATAACATTGCGGGATAAATTGTATTATCCTGGTCACTTTTCCTGGCAGTGGCTCTGAGGTAAACCTGTTACTGAGTGTTTCCTTCTTTACAGCTATGCTTACTTTTGACAGTGACGAACACTCACAAATGAGAGTGGGAGTTTAGTGTACAGATACTGAGTCTGATACAAATCTCAACACAATGCAACATTCCTTAATTCATGACCATAAACTAAACCTTGATTGTTCAAGAGCTGATCTGAGGCAATTTTAAAAAAATCCATTTATCCAATTTATCGTTTGATAATTTGAAGATTATTTTTTTTTCCTGCTTTTCCCTTGCAAAATTTTAAGTTTCTGGAATTTCTTTCTTTTCACCGCTTTTTTCTTATGGTCACTTGATGCAACAAATTGTGTGATGATCAGCACTTGGCAATAATCTAAAGAAGGAAGAATATTTGCCCTTCTCTCTTGTGCTGCTACCAGCTTTATTAAATGTCAGTATGCTTGAAAATTTAACTGGGGAGAGAAACAAAACACCAAAAAAAGCCCTCAAACATAGAAAGAAAAGAACTAAGTGCAATCATTTCTCCTTTTATTCCAATTAAGAGATTAAAATGGGGAAGAGAAATAACCTCTCCTTCCCCACATTTAGGACATTTTTTGGCATATGTACAGTTTATAGTTTCAATAAAACCCTGTTTGTGAATATGATAGTTATCATTATTATTTTGATAAATACTGTATTTTGTTATTAAATTGAGGAATAACTGAAAACAGATAGAACAACATGTTAATGTGCTCTAGTCCTGTTCACCAGGTATGAAAGCATCTTGCTTGCCCACACATGGTTGCTATATATAATGTTCAAAAACACAAATGCACAAACCTACTGACAAGAGTTTGTAAGAAGAGGAAAATTGTAGTTACTCATCCTCTTAGATGGAAGGACTTGCTTCTTTTACACCTCCTTGTCTATGTCAGAAGAGTTTTACCATCCTAGCCATGTCTTTTTGGAAGGGCAATGTGTCCTATTTCCACTTAAAGGTTGAGTGAGGGTTTGGCAACGAATGTTCTGACCTTCTAAGAGAGAGCAAATGTTGTGCAAGATCTCATTACAGAGGCTTGCTAGCCCAAAAATCTTCAGGCAATCACTGTTTCTTGGCTATTCTTGTGAACTGAGGGGAGCTTGCTGCTCACTCAGAGTGCAGGTACATTGTCCAGATATAAAAATCAGTTATAAGAGGGGAAGTGTTTATAAAGAGAGGGTCATTATACACCACCACATTTAGATGGTGTATTAAGCAAGCCATAGTGAAGATTAATGTAGTTTGACAGTACTAGGTTTGGTTTGTGGTCATGTGATCTGAGGAATCAGCTGTGCCAGCTGTCTTTCAGAAAACACTGTCTTTGTCTTCCATTCCCAGGAACTGCACTGGAGAAGAAACCTATGAAAAGAATAATAAGACTCACAAAATCAAACCCTTAAATATGAGCAAATTGAGCAGCAGGATTAAGGTTTTCCACTGCCCCTTAATTCAGAACCCCCCATGCCACCCAAGCACAGTTCCACCAGCTGCGCTCACCTACCCATCTCACACCCACAGGCAGGTACGTAGTATAAAATGTGGTCCGACATTCTTCTACTGTAACCTTATCTTATTCCAGTGAATGGTCAGTTACTTGATACTTACTCAGCATGGGATTCCAGGTGTCATTTGCTTAATGCCTTTTAAACCCTACAAGCAAAAGATAATTTTCTTTTTTCTCAGGCTTTCACCTGGCTTTTAAATCATATTATGTTCTTTGCATGGTTTAATATTTGTTTGGTTTTGTTTCATAGAATCGTTAGGGTTGGAAAGGACCTTAAGATCATCAAGTTCCAACCCCCCTGCCGTGGGCAGGGACACCTTACGCTAAATCATATCACCCAAGGCCGTGTCCAACCTGCTCTTGAACACTGCCAGAGATGGAGCATTCACAACCTCCCTGGGCAACCCATTCCAGTGCCTCACCACCCTAACAGGAAAGAATTTCCTTCTTATATCCAACCTAAACTTCCCCTGTTTAACCCATTACCCCTTGTCCTATCACTACAGTCTCTAATGAAGAGTCCCTCCCCAGCATCCCTATAGGCCCCCTTCAGATACTGGAAGGCTGCTAGGAGGTGTCCACACAGCCTTCTCTTCTCCAGGCTGAACAGCCCCAACTTTCTCAGCCTGTCTTCATATGGGAGGTGCTCCAGTCCCCTGATCATCCTCGTGGCCCTCCTCTGGACTTGTTCCAACAGTTCCATGTCCTTTTTATGCTGAGGACACCAGAACTGCACACAATGCTCCCAAGTGAGGTCTCACCAGAGCAGAGTAGAGGGGCAGGATCACGTCCTTTGACCTGCTGGTCACGCTCCTTTTGATGCAGCCCAGGATACGGTTGGCTTTCTGGGCTGTGAGTGCACACTGCCTGCTCATGTTCATTTTCTCATCAACCAACACCCCCAAGTCCTTGTCTGCAGGGCTGCTCTGAATCTCTTCTCTGAACAACCTGTAGCTGTGCCTGGGATTGCTCTGACCCAGGTGTAGGACCTTGCACTTGGCATGGTTTATTTGTTGTTTTTTGTTTTTTTTTTTAATAAACCTGAGTATGTTTCCTGAGTTGTTATTCCCATTTTTAGATGTATAAGAAGCTGTTTCAGTGAGAATAATGTCAAATTTGTCCACACTTTAAGCAAATTTGGGGGGACAGTTTGAGATGCCAACTACAGTTCTCAGCACTTGATAGCACTCTGTATTTGCTGAATATGATTCTCACTGCCATCAGTTTCTGCTGTGAGGGTTTAGCATTTCTGTAAATCCGATCAACACCTCTAAACATGGATATTCCTAAATCAAGAACCCACTGTGTTTCCCCACCCATCCAGAATCCTTCTCTTCACCTGCTATTTCTCACCCTTTCAGTTAGTGTATCGCACCAAAGCTGCCATATCCCTCCTCCTACCAGGGCAGTAAGATCTGGATTGTGGGAAGGACAGCATCTCTACTTTTGGGTCTATTTTTCAGCTCCAGGTAACTCCTAAGGGCAGCAATTTCAGGGGAAATTTGCAATGAAAAGTTCCCCTTTTGTGATTTGCGTATATGTAGCACAGATGATTGAAGACTGAAAACTGTAATTTTCCCTTGGTGTCCTCCATTCCTTTTAACTTTTCCAACACAGTTCCTTCAGAGGGTTGGGTTGGAGTTTCCCAGCTATGGCCAAGACCCATAATTGTGAGTGGTTTACAAAGGTATAGTGAGACTTGTGAAAGACCAAGAAAAAAACCAAAACATTCACTGAAAAAAAAAGAAAAAAATGAATGACAGGAGTTTATTAAAATCTGAACCAGTCATCCAAGTACAATGGTGGAAGACCCACATTTGACACCCTTGAAACCCAAGTGGACAAAACATCCACTTTGCTTGTGCTCCCAGGGGATGATGTGAGTACACTCAGCGTCCATCAGACCTTTGCCAGCTAAGATTTCCAGGATTAAAACTTACTTTTATAATGCCAGCAGCCTGTCTAAGCTTTGCCTAGCTGAAGTGGTCAAGAAAGGTACAGTCACAGCTATATGCAGGCCTTTCCCACTTACTCGCAACAGCAGTAATGAGTATATGAAGTATTTTACGTCCCTTTTCCTTGCCATATATAGCAATTATTCTGTCATTCATCAAATGTACACAAATTCCTTTTCATATGTAAATACCCCATTTGCTTCACAGCTCTAGCCAAACAGTTGTGCAGTTCTTTGTCAAGAAGATAATATATTTAATCATGGAGTGCCTTGTTTCCATTGTATTGAACAGGTGCTGTTTAATGGCACAGCCATTGTAACATTATATTCATTTATTAATGTGAGTGTAACGAACATATTGTAGAGACATGAATGCGCTGGCCTCATGGTTAGGGTTAGTGGTTTCTTATGATGTGGTATGTGCAGGATAGTGGCTTAGATTCAGACTGCAGAGAAGCAGGAGTTCATTATAGCCAACTCCAAGTGATGTGGCTGGTTTTGGCCCTTGTTCACTTTTGAAAAGCAGAGAATACATGAAAGACTTCATTGAAAATGTGCAAGTTATTCAGTGTGGTTAATTCTACATTGGCTTCACTCCCACCTTCTTTCAAGACTGCGTATGTGACCATGCTTTGTGAAACAGCAAAACCAATCTGCACTAGATTCATGCTGCTTTTGGATACATACGCAATCCCTAGTATCCTATTTCATGAAGTGACTGGTCTTGAAATACGATGGAGGAAGTCATTAGGCGATCAGCTAAAACTATGAAACAATGCCTGCTTGGTTTGTGCAGCTACGGCAGCTCTGTCCCTTCATTTACTTATTTTTATGCATGCTACCACATTTTTAAAAGTTACTATTCTGAGCGTTCCCTACCTAAAACTGCAGCGCAGCCAGATGGCAAGGTAGCTACAGTCGCACAGGCAAATCAGGTGAGTAAGTGGAATAACTTACGCACCTGATTTTTCTTACTGTATGAAATCACCCAGTTGGCATCAGCCCTCATGGGGCCAGAATACACAAATGCAGGTAAATGCCTGCAGTGCCCATTTGCTTTATAGAACATCAATGCCTACAACAGTTTGTTTGGATACATGTCTAATATATACTTTTTTCTTAAATGCTTGATTCTGTGATGCCCTATATCATAATTATACAGTGCATTCCCTCCCTTTTGGAAATACTGTCTTCAAATTTCACAGTGTGTACATAAGTGATCACATTAGAGAAGAGATTAATAAATGCAACTAAATCTTCAACTCTGTACTGTACCCTCTGTTATATGATGTATCTTTGGTTTTGTACGGTCTGGCAATTAAATAATTTTAATCTTGTTGATCTCTATGTCACTTCCATCTATAATGTTAACTGGCTTTTTCACAGCAGTTTCAGTCAGCCATGAGCACTTTTCCAGTAAAGCAAATGACAGAATCCCATTAATTACTTTCATTGCTGCTTTCTGGACTCCATCAGTTCCCAATGTTTTACTTTCTGTGCAAGTCCAAGAACAGAACAGGGAAATAAAATAAAGTGTTAATACTATTAGAACATTTTTGGTACTCTTCTCTTGACTCTTCAAATTTTTACAAGAGATTGAGCAAATGCCCTCATGAAGTTGCCCAGCTTTTCTTCTTGCTTAGACTGAAAAACATATTGGCCTTATTTTCTTCTCACTAACACCAGTTTTGCAATCTTTTAACTCAAGTTTCAGCTGAATTACTTCACAGTTACAACTGAGTAAAGAAGAGGAGAAACTGCTTCATTATCTGCTTTTCAATTTTCTCCTGTGGGGCTTGGAATCAAGGTAGGGAGTCTTCAATTCCAGCAGGAAGGGAAATCACTTTTCTGGTCACAGTTGGTCACAACCTGGGGAGAGTGCAAAAGTCCTGTGCACGATGACCCCTTACCCTCACAAGCTCAGCCTGGATAATTGTGCTTTGACCTGCTATGGCCCTAGAGGAAGGCAAAAAATCTGGAGCCACTTCAGTGATTTGCCATCCCCTGTTATGTGAGCTGCAACAGTCTGCATTTGCCCTCAAATCAGGCTCTACTCTACACCCCAAATCTCTTCCTGTGTTTTATCCTCTTAACTCAAACAACGGCATTAGTCTTCTTGTCCCTCTCATTTCACTCTCTTCCCTGAAGACCCGAATTCTTCTCTGAAAACTGCTTTTACTGAGCTACCTCCCAGACCTGCTGTAGGTTAAACAGGGAGCAGAGGCTTGTCATCCAAGGACACATTGGTTCAGTTTGTGCTGTAATGGTGACATCTAGCACAGATGCTCATACAGTATTAGAGATTCCTATCTTGGCTGAGGCCTGTCTGGACACCATAAAATTTGTATATTTCACATCCTGAAATATAGCCTCTTCCTCAAACAATCTGTCTGTCTCAAAAGCCAGACCAACAATGGATTTGTTTTGATTTGGGGCAGGGGCAATTTGCCTGCTGTTACAAAACAAGACTGAGAAAACTGTGAGCAAAAGCATCTTTTGGCTTCCTGACGCAACACTGTCAGCCACGTCAGACTTTTTATTTAGCTGGGTTTTAACTGAATTTATTATTAACCAGAGTGAATTTTATAACCAGATGGGAACAGTAGCCAGGAGCCAGCTGTGGCAGACCACACACCCTTCCAGGCAGCGCGGCAGCTGCTCCTCCCTCTGAGGACACACACCACAGATCTGAGGATCAGGTGATAGATTACACAGGTTGTGTTATCACCTCTTCTCTTTGTTAATACCTCAGCTTTTCACCTGCCACCAGGACCTCAGGCTGAAACCTCAGGCCCAGTTTTGAAGTATGTCTGTCATATAAATTAGATTTAAAAAATCACCCTCTCCAGGGTGAAACTGACAGCACAGGCAGGTTTACCTACAAGATCACTCTGCAACCTGCACTTCAAAAGGAGAGACATCAGCAGTGGCTAAGTCCATGCATGGCCCTGAGTGGACTTTGCTCAGACATCTTTGCGACACAAAATATGACAGCTTTATATCTGAACTGGGACTAGAGCAGGGAAAAGTAGATCTCACGAAGCTCCCATGGTAAAGATAGTGTAAAACTTCTGACAGAATCCTCTAAACTAGCTGTCCTGTGAAATGCAAACATATAGCATAGCAGGGGGGCTCTTTATTACATGCCAGTTAGAAACATATGAGACATTACACTCAATATTAATTTTTTAGGGATTGACCTTCCACCACACCAGCAGATTGCACCATTATCTGCAGCAAGAGCTTTTCTCACTGAATGGAAACATATTCTGATGTTGATCATGAGAAACACTGTTTCAGTATATATGGAAATGAAAAGAACGTATTCTCAAATCAAGAAAAATAAATCCCTAATCAACAGAAACAGGCAAACAAATTCTGTTCACACCTCTGCATCTATCAGTGCTGCTAACCAACACACCTTGAATTATCATCAATGTAGCTGAGAGTAAACTTTGGCCAGTAACTATGATGCATTTTATCTTACTATAAACAGAATTCCTAACATGCATACTGATAACCAATCACAGCTGCATGAAAATAGCAGAGCAGCTAGGTAGGGAAGAAGAGTGATAGAAGGTTTTCCAGAAATAATTGTCCCTGGACAATAGAGATTCTCTGTGCAAAAGCTTTCTAATAGGAAGAAATATCTTTCAATACATTTCATTTATTATTTCAGTAACACTATTCTTCATTAATAGAATAAACCCACTAATATTGCCCTGCATCACTTCAGTGATACCAAAGACAATACCCCATTTTAAGAAGAAATCCTCTGTCTCCAAATGTATGTTTTACACCCTTAAAGGAATAATGTTATTAAAAAGAATCATACAGCTTTCCTTTAGGAAACTTCAAACTTTTCTGCCTGAAAGATTTATGAAGACTAAAGAAAGCTCAAGCATCTCTCCAATGAAATGAGAGCCTACACAGCTGAGGAAGATACAGTGATCTGTGACAGTATAATTCCCTCTTTCTAAAAATTTGACTGTGCCTGAAGTGATGGGACGTATATGGGTAAAACACAGCTGTTGTATGGTCTCAGGAAAAGTGTGAGGGAGAGTTAAGTCATATGGGTGCTAAAATGATGTCACTAAACATAGCTATCATTAAATTATTTTTAAAGTTTTAATATGGAAACATGATCGTACCAGTCAGCAGTTACTGGACAGACTAGCTGGGAGGATCCACCAGCAGCATAATTCAAGGCACAGACATTCAACAAATTGCATATGAACCTTAAAATAAGCAGAAAGAGGGGCAGGACTCCAGAATTATTTTTAAAAACAATTTCATAACAACCCTCCCTACCATGCCAGCTACGCAGTGTTCCAGGACACTCCCTGATAACTGCTGTGGTGATCTCATCTTGAATTCTCATTATATAATAAGCTAAAGAAAAAATCCTATCAAGGTGTAAAAGAGTTTATATTCTATCCAGAAAGAAAAGCGACCCTTCATAAATATTAGCTGCTGTGTTCTGCTCCATCAACTTCCAAAAAACCTACTTGCTAAGGAAACCATGGGATTTACTTTTTCTGCTTATTTTGTTTGCCTGTTGACAGCTGTTAGATGGCATACAGGCTATGGAATGGAGCAAACAGCACAGCAAGATTTTCTTCAGCAGCACCACACCTGGAACATTTAGCAAGAGAACTTGGAGCAGAGGGTGTGTGCTGTGCCAACAGGTAGGATGAGCGCTGGTAAGTGAGAGCACTCCAGAAAAAGGACATGTTTGCTTGCACCATCTACCCTTACCTCGAGCTACTGCAATGTTGTATTGTGAGAAGAGTACTTATGAAATAAAGCTTTTTTTTTTTTTTTACATAAGTGATACTAATCAGGTTTTGTTTACCCATCCTTAATCACTGTACAGACTTCTCGCTAACATGCTATTATGTTCCTCTACTTCTGTAACACTCCCATAAAATCTTTCAGACTACAAATGGATTTCTTCCAAGCATCATATTGCCATGTGGCCTCAAATTGTCAACTGACCTGCATTAATCCAGAACTTCTGAAAAGTCATTATACAACACAGCAACAGAGCTACAGCAGCAGAGGTTAGTCATTACCATGCCCCTAACTGAAGTGACAGCACTAAAATCACATTAGGGAAGAATTTCAAAAGGCTACACCTACTGCATCTAAGTAAAGAACGTAAATGAAGTGTTAACTGAAAGTCAGAGAAGTATCAAGTTATGAAAATAAGATTAGAAGAGGAGTTACAGAGGAAAGAGAGACTCAGCTGATTAGAGAGAAATTATTCATAAGACCAACTGCTGTAATTTGGAAAAAAACCTCCAAAAGCAGCCAATTCTGTATTACCATATATATGTTAAATTCAACACTGTGAGAGACAATTACTGAAGATGCTAAATCCATACACTGTGGAACCCACCAGCAGATGCTGACCATGCCTGACATTTAGAAAAAAAATGCCATGAGGTTGCACTGTTCCTTTTACTTGCCCTCTGTACTCCTCCATTACTGCCTGCTGGTGATATGCTCAGAAAGAAACCTGAGCTGCCCTGAATCGTAATGAAGTGCCTTTGTGTTATAATGGCATGCTTAACTTACACGTTTCAATGTTATTTTTGGCAGCCATGTGATAAAAATCAAAAACTCTATGTGTGTGTGTGCGCAAGCACATTACATTCAAGTCACATGAGCAGGAGGCATAATTCTGTCCCCAAAATAAATGTACTATCAAGGCTGAAGTTTTCTAGAAGTGTTTTTTTCCCATCTGATGCTCATTTGGGCAAAGGGAAAATCAGCTTGTCTTACTGGAAGGATGCAGCAGCAATTTGCAGTAGTACACCTGCCCCTTCTCTTCCCCGCAACCTTTAACACTTTCCCAGTGCTGCTGGAAACTGAAGAAACTAACCATGATCCTCTCAGACATTCTTACTCCCTGCCTCCCTCTCCTCCACCCAAGCACCTAGATTAGCCTACTAGGGAGCATATGACCTCAAAACAGTGCTTCAGTGGTGCAGCAGGACTGAAGCACTGCTCTGTACAATAAGGGTTGTCGTTCCTAATAGAAACACAAGGTGTTCATAAACCCACCCACACCAATGCTGAGAAGCTCAACCACTGATACCCTTCATCCCAGGTAGTGGCTCCCAGGATTACTCCTCCCAACTGTCTCTGAGTGTCCTTCTTGTGATGGACAGGTCAGGAAAGAAGAGCACTATGGAACAGCAATGGCTATCAGGTGCCAAATCTAAGGAAGGTGAGTGGGGCAGGATACTATGGACAAACCCAAGTTAACTTCAAACAAGCTAACTTGGGTACCAGGAACACTTTTGTCCACGCTGACTGGAACTCTCTGCAGGTTACTCTGCTGCTTCACAATCCTCCTAGAGAAACATCCCCTCATTTCTGGCAGAAAAAACAAAACATCCAGTGGCATTTGGAAGTTGTTTTCCCTGTTGCGGCAACACATACAACAACCTTTGTAGGCATCAAGAAATTGCTAGGCTTCATCAGGCAATGTTCTCCTTTTGCAGTGCTAGCAGATGCAGACATAAAGGACCAAAACAGCAGCCCAAAATGCAGCAGTGATGAGTACTACTGAGCTCAAGGGCCTTGAGAAGAAGATTCAGGGATGGCTTGGACATGTGGTAGGTGAAGGTTTACACAGGAAGAAGCTGTGTAAGCTGCTGGCCAGACTTGGCCAGCAGGACTAGGGCAGTGATTGTCCCCCTGTACTCAGCACTGGAGAGACCACACCTCGAATCCTGTGTTCAGTTCTGGGCCCCTCACTACAAGAGACATTGAGGTGTTGGAGCAGGTCCAGAAAAGGACAATGAAGCTAGTGAAGGGTCTGGAGAACAGGTCCTGTGAGGAGCAGCTGAGGGAAATGGGGTTGCTTAGCCTGCAGAAAAGGAGGTTGTAGCAAGGGGGGTGTCAGTCTCTTTTCCCAAGTAACCAAGTCATAGGACAAGAGGAGACAGCCCCAAGTTGTGCCAGTGTAGGATTAGATTAAATATTAGGGAAAAATGTCTTCACCATCTTCAGTTCAAATGTGAAGCACTGGACCAGCCAGCCCAGGGAAATGGTTGAGTCCCATACCTGGAGTTGTTTAAAAGACCTGTGGATGTGCCAATTAGAGACATGTTTTAGTGGTGTACTTGGCAGCGTCAGGTTTGATGAACTTAGGGTCTCTTCCAACTTAAACAATTCTATGATTCTAAGCTACCTAAACCTGTCTGTATGTTGTACTTCATTGCTGCTGAGTCATTTGGTACCTTTGAACAAGTTCGATGTGCGTGAAGAAAGTGTCTCAGTTTCTTCTCTTTGAAAGCAGAATAATGTTTACTTAGCGGAATAAACCTCAGAAACACCAAAAGCCTGCCCTGTGCTTTGAAGCTCACATGTATCACTTTACCACACAGAGTCATTCTCTTTTCTTTTGCTTCTGTTTTCCATATGAAAAAGAAATTATTACATGAACACTGAAATGAAACCTGGTTACTCACAGAGGTCAGGTCTTTATCCTATCAGCTTTATTTTCCCAGTCACCTCTGCCCGAACCTGTCCTTCAGTCCCCTCTGTATTCCTGGTGTATGCCTATTCTGCATGCATGGAACAGTGTGTGTTGTGCTAGGGACCCCCACGCTGACTGCTTAGCTGACACCTATGTTTTATGTGGCTTCCCCTCTGCAGAGGCACTGCCTCTGCCTCTCTTCCTCTAGACAGAAAGCAGTTTTCATTAATCTAGTCAAAATGTAATTATCTGTAATCCCTCTCCAAATCCAGC